TGAGAGATATATAAACTAAAGCAGCAATAAAGTGGTCTTATATAGCACAATTTCGAGGCGAAACTTCTTTCTTAGAATAAATAGATAAAAAAACAAAAATAAAAGACTATATAACTAGGGTTCTCTAGTTTTTATAAAAGGAAGATAATATTTGCACTTGATGGTCTGATTTTACTGAATAAAGTACTAATGATGAGCTGATAATATACCCCTTTTTCTTAGCATAGCTGAACATCCACCTTATTTGCATTTGAGGGAGATATAGTGCATTTTCGCATTTGACCAATTGGCAATTTCGCTAAAAATCTTATATGCAAGAGGCCTGGCCTGCCACGTGACTAAATGTTACTCGCAGATATGCGGCATAATGATGACATAACAAATATATGCTGCAATAAGGTCGCAATGAGACCCAGGTAAGGTCGAAACCGCAGTCAGACTTTGGTGGGAACATTATTTTGGAGGAAAGGTAAGATGAAATTCAATGATATCGTGAGGCTTACTCATAGCATTGAGGGAAAACACAACTAACAAACCCTCATCATCTTATGCGACATAGAATGCAGCTCTTATTCAAAATACTATCTAAACATACTAAATGTTATTATATAGTTTCGGATAGATCAGTCAATTGTTGTGGTGTAAAACAGAAATCGGGTCAATGTAAAACCATCAAAGATATGTCTTACTTCTATGTGCTGTAAAAATAGGGGTTTCAGAAGGTCGTTCCAAATATTGGCAGGCGCTTTCTCCAGATCCGCCCGAAGCTTGGCGAGATGATCTTCACTGGTCGCAGGCAAGGTTGTCTTGACTACTGTTGCGACTGATTCATTATCTTCCACTTCAATGGAGCCGTTCGGCCTACTTGTTAACCCGTAAGCCTGACCAAAAATATTTGATTTTATTTGTAATGATGATAAAGACGAAGAAGAGGCTAGGAGGCGAAGCAGAGACGAGCGAACAGCCACAACAGAACCAAGGCTGGTCAGGAAGGTGAGAGCATTGGCTAATCGAGTACGAGACTCACACAGACAACTGGAAAACAAGGTTAGGTGCATCGCAATGGATTAGCAAGACAGGCAAATAAATCCTATCAAACTCGGTCGTAAACAATCCTAATTGGTCTGACTTAAAACAAAATCATTCTAATGAGATGCTTAAAAGGATTCGAATAAATAGATAAAGAGCAAAATAAACTGGACTATTTAAAAAGGCCCGTGGAGTTTCCATAGACGCATTAAAAGAATTTTATCTACTATCCTGGTAGGCTAGAATATAAGGTCTGGCACGACGCCATAAAGTTATAATAAATCTTGATGTATTTTGAAGAAAAAAAAACTCAAATCAACCAGCATAACCAACAGAAAATCACGTAGGATTTCTGACTTAATAACAAAACGGCATGATGATAAATTGAGTAAGTTTGGGATTATAAGACAGCCTAGGTTAAAGCCAGTACGCCCAGTTGAAGTGGCTTCCGAGGTGACAACACCTACTGATCAGCACTAGGATAGGAAGAAAGTACTAAACTTATCATCAATTCCTCTCAATCCCGAAACAACCACGTTCCTGGAAAAAGGACTCAATTTTTCAATTCAGCATCACATAAGCCTTCTAGGAGACATCCTGGTGGAGGTTATCAATATCGCCGACAAGTTCCCTGAGGAGACATAACGGGAAATGGAGATGGAACTAATTTCAAAGATCTTGACACATCATGAGCCTACACATAGGAACAGAGTTGCCATGATGCTCAAAACCCTGAAAATGAATGAACAATTAGTCCTTCAGGCGAACAAAGGAGCTAGTGATAATAGACAAAAAACAATATAACGGGAAGATAGAACAAATTCTACGAGGCAGGGTCACATATCGTATACTAAACAGGGACCCAACTATGAGGATCAATGGAATCTTAAGTGCCATGCTGAAAGATATGCATATGAATGGGGAAATTGACGCATTGACAAGA